AAGAGCGATAGCCTCCAACCTACGTACTATCGCTGGCCTCCAACCTAAGAGCGATAGCCTCAAACTACTATCGATGGCCTCCAACCAAAGAGCAATGGTCTCCAACCTACGTATTATCGATAACCTCCAACCGGAAAGCGATAGCCTCAAGCCTACATACTATCGATGGCCTCCAACCTAAGAGCGATAGCCTCCAACCTACGTACTATCGATGGCCTCCAACCTAAGAACGATAGCCTCAAACCTACGTACTATCGATGGCCTCCAACCTTAGAGCAATGGCCTCCAACCTACGTACTATCGATGGCCTCCAACCTAAGAGCGATAGCCTCCAACCTATGTACTATCGATGGCCTCCAACCTAAGAGAGCTAGCCTCAAACCTACGTACTATCGATGGCCTCCAACCTAAGAGCAATGGCCTCCAACCTTTAAGTACTGCATATTGCTTCAAATGACATTGACCTGTGAGGCCCTTAAGCACCTAGCAACGGCGTTCTTCTTTTGAACCATTTATGTTTTGCGACTCATCATGTAAGGCAAATGTGCTGGAAGCAGTCGGAACCTGCTATGTATGACAAAGGCCAAACGAGAAGAACTGGTTGAACGTATGCTGAAAGACCTTCTGCAAAATGGAAATTGTATGCATGAGCCATGGCAAGTAGTTGCATCCCACCTTGAAGATGGTGTCAGATGGGTGTGTCTTTTCCTGGTAAACAATAATCTCGACTAGGTGGCCATTGATTGCACAAACATGGCCCTGCTTGCTAGAATAGAGCTAAGCACGTGCATGGGCATGGTGCTGCAGGCAGACAGTTCCCACAATCCTTCAATATCCTTCATCAAGACTTGCTGATTTCAAGGAAAAATGGATCACGGTCACACTTAAAGCCATCGTGCATGTATAAATATATATATATATACATACATTTTGTATGCGCTAGCCACTCTGCCATGGTTGTCTTTCTGAGTTGTGCCCAGTCACTACAACCACGCCTGGGCGCTGAAGTCCATTGAAGCCACCCTGGAAAGCAGCGCAAACTGCTGTGACTGCTTAGACTTCGCTGTTCCAGTGTGCAAAAATGTATTGAGCCAGACTTCCTGACAGGAGTTTCTCATTCCAATTTGCCTAAGCTTGCACACAACGCAGCAACTTCGCGCACCCAAACTTGGTCCACCATACCCCTGGATTGCCTGCGCGAAAGCCGGATAGGCGGTCCAAGCGATCAGCTGTCTAGACTAGAAATCCACTGATCTCTGGTGTTGGCAACTCAGTGTAGATTCTTATGAAAGGCTAGGAAAAACATGAAAGTCCTAAAAAGGTCCAGTAGAAACCAAGCTAGAACCCTCAAGTGTGAAAAGCTACACTAGTACACTAATCTATGCAAATTCATATGAGAAAGCATCATAGCCACATTCACTCGTGGACCATATTGTGTGGACCCTCAATGTGCCCACATGCCACCTCTGAGGCTGCCTTTGCGGCGTTTTGCCTGCCAAACCAGTTTCCAATTGTCCGTCATTCTGTAGTTTTACAATCGTGCACTGATACTTATTTCTTATATTAAATGTGTTCCAATACGTTGCAAAAACGTACAATAGCTATGCCACTGTGCAGTGCAAATGGTCGACTTTAGAGATGCTGTGTCTTCAAAACCTAACCGCAAAGCGCTGGGCAAAGCTGGACAGCATTGAGACAGAACCCAAGTTGTGTAGAACTAACTAACTAACTAACTAACTAACTAACTGACTGACCCCGTGTTCATGCCTGGTTCGCCATTGACTTGCTTGGCACACGGCACTTTTTACTATTCCAGAGTATGCTCTAAAAGCATTCAAAGAGCATCTTGGCTAAGAAGTAAAAATGTGCATCGAGGTAGTCACAACTCTCATTGATCTCTGAGGTCTCTGAAATGCGATTCTTTGCTATCTATACTTGCCATGCCAAAGAGTCCATCTCTTCTGCTGCACAAAAAAATATCCTGAAAGCTATGAAAAAGAGCCGGCATGATTCACAGGCTTGGCTATACACATGCTGCAGCAGCTAAGTCCGCCTTGAAAAAGCATGACGCCCTTGGAGCACGGATCAAGCTGCAAACATACTGATACTATTCCCAGTACAGTGTCAGCGTTTCTCGGCTCCGATGCATCCTTTTTGTCAGGCGCGAAAGCAATCATGTCAAGTCTAATCCACGTCGTGGATTGAGGAGAACTCCAATCAGACAGTGAAGGCTCCAACTGCTTCTGATGCATGATATTCTCTTACGATGGTTCAGAAGCAATATGGAAAAAAAGAGTGCAGGAGAACATTACATAAAGAAACGAAGCGGGAAAACTATGAAAAACAAATCATTGTAGAGCGAGAGTGACAAGGCTCAAAGCAGTCTTTGAAGAACTGCGTCAAGTGCAATTCTAGAAGCGATATCCTGCAATGCAGGATGGCCTGGACCTGTGCTTTTCAGGTAGCCTTTTGGTCAGCTGCCAGGAGCTTAAAGATTCCCAGCTTCAAAACCAAAATGTAAAAATGTTGTGGGTACATGATTGTGGGTGCAAGGCTAAGCTAGGATATTGACAAGGGCCCGAAGAGTTGTTTACATTGATTCATGGCCACCTCAAACTGGCGCTGTCACAAGCCCCTCCGAAAAAAGGGTAAGGAAGGCAGCCCATTGCGCCAGAGGCACTGTCACAAGCTGTCACAGCACGACCTGCCGGGCCCCTTTGTCATCCCGAGGTCAGAAGCACCGATGGCGAAAGCAAGAGCGATTCCCTGATGTCATCCTGTCGATTCTCTGCTGAGCGGGGTTACATCACATCAAAACACTATTGGCGAATGAAGCGATACCTGGTCATCATCAGTTATGAGGACAATACCCACTGCCATTAGATCATTCTCTTGCTTTCACGGTCGTGAGACCGTAAACCTTTCACTGAAAAATCGCAGGGCCTTAGTTGCTCGCGGATCAACTTTTGGCCGGTGATCAACACTCAGAATTGTCAATTGGAGCCAAATTAATTAACATCAAACCTATTGTGACAGCTCTTTTTTCCTTCTGCACACCTACATACAGGAGCCACAACCTGGTACAGGATGATAATCTTAGAGGCTGGGGAGGCCTGGTACGAATACGAATGGTGCTGTGGTGCTGCACTTGCAGCTTCTGGCAGCTTCTCACAGCTTCCCGCAGCTTCGCAGCTCCGGTCATATTTTCTTGACCTTCCCTCCCCGCACAATGGGAGATCTTGACTTTTTCTCGACTGCAGTAGAGACCCTTGGCAAAGGATGGATAGCAATCTCACACATCTCTACACTCTCTACATGGCTGCATAATACACGGAAGTCATGGGCCAGCTCCTGTCTTGTGACCTAGAGCGCAATTGAGACTCATGAGTTCATGCCCTTTATATCCGGCCACCAAAGGAAGTGTGCCTGTACTCTGCAGGTAGTATTTCTCCATGCAACATGCCAGCAAGCTCTCTAAGCTATGTGTCAACAACACACATCGTCAACACTTCAACACACTATATAATAGAAAAGTGTCAGCAGCAATAACTGGATGCTTCTATAATAAACATGTGTTTGTTCGAAACGGAAAGGAATTGGTGCCCCATTCGACATGTAACTGGGATTCCAAACGAGACTTGCTCTCGTCTTGGTTCATGAGAAGTTCAGGTGTCCAAGCCTTCAATTTGGACACAGGCCAGTCACTAGCCACAATTGAATAGCTCGATCGCAGGCTCTGACCCGATTCACATCCTTCAGCGTGTTACGATTGTAGAGAGACGAGAGACCGAAAAAGAATCAATTTACTGCCAATCTTCCGCCTCACCCGTCTTGCGCAAGCGAAGGTGGACCAAGCCTCATTGCAGGCTTGACACGGTTGCGCAAGTTGGGACCAATACTTCGGCCAAAATGAACCACTGCAAACGTGTGGCAACTAGGAACAAGAACGCTACTAGGAGCAAAGGGCATTGCTATTAGGAGCAAGGACGCTACTAGGGGCTCCTGGCAGTATATACAAGGACACTATCACTAGACTCAAAGACTCCGTCTTCACATGTTTCACACGTGTTGTCCTGTGGCTCCAACCTCCGCCCATGGGGCATGCGCCCTGGCGGGCAGCGCACACACCGTTAAGGCTACATTCGCTGAGGATACCGCAACTAGAAAACCACAATGAAAAGCATCAGCACCCGCGAGTAATGGATTTTGGGAGACTAAACCAAGGCGACTATTTCTGCAGTGACATGCGCAGAAAGGCACGGAGCAAGTCAATTGATGAATTTGGGTGGTGCCGACGCCTGCCACTGTGCCACTGAGGAGGCACGGCCCCACTTGTGCAGGGAAGAGTGGAGCAAAACGCCATCCTGGAGAAGACAGGCAGGTTGCCGAAGATGACGTGACAATCTGTCGCGTCTAATGTTGCTATACTTGAAGATTTTGCACCTTGTCCGAGGATATTGGAGCTTGTAGTTTGTCAAGTTTGCCTTTCTCTGCCTACTCAGTCTACATTCCTGTGGACTGAGACTCAAGGGTGTGAGTCCTGCAGCCGGCGGCTCTGCACAAGTCCAGTGCCAGTGCTCAGAAGGAGCTCCCCACCGTTGAAGGACAGTGACACCTCAAGAAACAGAAAAAAAAATTGAAATAATATCAACTAGACGACGAGTGGCCCGAAAGCATTTTTCATCACGTAGGAAGTCAGAGTGCGAGTTATCCGGTAAGTGTGCAGTGTGAAGTGTGAAGTCGAGTGAGTTGAGGTAGTGTGTGGGTTTCTGTGCGTGTGTCTATGTCCGTGTGGAAATGAGTCTGCGTATGTGTGTGTTCGTGTAAGTTGAGGGAGTGTGTGGGTGTCTGTGTGTGATGCGGCCTCCCAAACCCCCCACCGGCGGCCAAGCGGTGACAGCCCAGCTCATCGTCGTGAGCATTTGGGCTGCTGGTAAGGGGAGAAGCAGCGTGCACGGCGCCAGGAAAAGCAGCACGTGTTAGTTGTACTACCAAGTCGCCAGTTCTCATCTTCCAGCTCCCCAGCTACTCCGCGCACTACAGTTATATACTACACCGTCGCCAGTTCGCAGCCACTACCCACTCGCCAGTTCTCCTCTTCCCATTCCCCAGCTACTCTGCGTACTAAAGTTGCACTGCCAAGTCGCCAGTTCTCATCTTCCCACTCCCCGGCTGCTCTGCGTACTACATTTGTACTACCAAGTCGCCAGTTCTCATCTTCCAGCTCCCCAGCTACTCCTCGTACTAAAGTTGTACTACAAAGTCGCGAGTTCTCAGCTACTACCCACTCATCAGTTCTCATCTTTCCGCTCCCCAGCTACTCTGCGTACTAAAGTTGTAATACGAAGTCGCCACTTCTCATCTTCCAGCTCCACAGCTACTCCGCGTACTAAAGTTGTACTACGCAGTCGCCAGTTCTCAGCTTCCAGCTCCACAGATTGCTCCGCGTACTAAAGTTGTACTACAAAGTCACCAGTTCTGAGCTTCCAGCTCCCCAGATACTCCACGCCCTCAAGTTGTACTACCCACTCGCCAGTTCTCATCTTCCCGCTCCCCAGCTACTCCGCGTACTAAAGTTGTACTACAAAGTCGCGAGTTCTCAGCTACTACCCACTCATCAGTTCTCATCTTCCCACTCCCCAGCTACTCTGCGTACTAAAGTTGTATTACCAAGTCGCCACTTCTCATCTTCCAGCTCCGCAGCTACTCCGCGTACTAAAGTTGTACTACGCAGTCGCCAGTTCTCAGCTTCCAGCTCCACAGATTGCTCCGCGTACTAAAGTTGTACTACAAAGTCACCAGTTCTGAGCTTCCAGCTCCCCAGCTACTCCGCGTACTACAGTTGTACTACAAAGTCGCCAGCGCTCATCTCCCAGCTCCCCAGATACTCCACGCCTCTCGCCCGCATTTCGAGCACTCGACACGCACGATCTCCGCAGAGGGTTGCGCGGGCAGCCGGCAAATCCCCCTCTCCCCTGCATTTCGCGCACTCGACACGCACGATCTCCGCAGAGGGTTGCGCGGGCAGCCGCCAAATCGCACTCTCGCCTGCATTTCGCGCACTCGACACGCACGATCTCCGCAGAGGGTCGCGCGGGCACCCGGCACATCGCACTCTCGCCTGCATTTCGCGCACTCGACACGCACGATCTCCGCAGAGGGTTGCGCGCACAGCCGGCGAATCGCACTCTCGCCTGCATTTCGCGCGCTCGACACGCTCGATCTCCGCAGAGGGTTGCGCGGGCACCCGGCAAATCGCACTCTCGCCTGCATTTCGCGCACTCGACACGCACGATCTCCGCAGAGGGTTGCGCGGGCAGCCGGCAAATCGCACTCTCGCCTGCATTTCGCGCACTCAACACGCACGATCTCCGCAGAGGGTTGCACTTTCGGTTGACGCTGTTCGTCCCACCCTCCGCCTTTAAGAGAGAATTTATAAAGTGGGGAAATGTTTTTTCATTAGGACATTTCCCGTGCTAGTTCACTTGCCTACTCATTGCATGCTTGCATACTCATCACTTGCATACTTACACTTGCATACTTCCACTTGCATACTTTGACAGCTTTCGCTCTTCCACTTACACAGGGCTACGTATAGCGTTCACGTTATCCTGCAAGTGTGGTGAAAGTGTCAATGTCTAGGTGTGTCTAACGGTAAGTGTCGAAGTGTCAGTGTTCAAAGGATTTTCTGGAAGAACCCTTCGCAATGCTTTCGGGAAAAATTAGAAAAACAATGCGAAAAGTGCCTGAAACTTTGACTTGTCTGAAGGACGAGTCTTAGCTGCAGGACTGCTGGATTTCTTTTTGCAAACAAGCAGGATGGGACCCTTCTTATATTTC